AGAGGGGCTTGCCTTTACTGCACTGAGACTAACCGTGTTCCAAAATGCGAATCCCACTGTCAATGCTTCCTCCAAAGCGGCTTCCTTTCTTTTTGCAATCTGGGGGAGCCCATCCTGGATCACAATGGCAATTTTTTTTGCTGTTGCAAATCTGAAAATATAGATAAAAATAAAAACAAACATTTACAATTATTGCCATTTTTAATTTAATTATTTCGAAATGAGTCATCCCTATACGTTGTCGAAGGCTTTCATGTTCATTAGTTGTTGTAGATTTACCGGGCTGTATGGCCGTGTTCTTGGCACTGTAGTACCTGACATTTTGCCAGCAGCTGTGACTGGCATCCTCAGAGGTATAACATATAAAGATGGAGTACTCTCTGTGTCAATGTGAGAAGAAAATGCAAAAGAACCTCCTCAGGAAAGCTCCTCCATTAGCATGTCACAGCCTGGGAAACTCCTACCCCACCTTCCTGACTAGATATAAATTACCTGCCTACCATTTTTCTTCTCACATTGACACTGAGAGTACTCCATCTTTCTGTGTTACACCTCTGAGGATGCCAGTCACAGCTGCTGGCGAAATATCAGCTTACTACAATGCCAAGAACACGGCCATACAGCCCGGAAAATCTACAACAATTAATGAGTCATCCCTACTTCCTGTGCCCCAATGCAAAGGAATCTGAGGTTGAGTCTTGGTAGCCATGTTCATTGACTCTGTTTGGATTTGGTCCTCTGGCCTTTCTTCTTCTCTTATAGAGCAGACCCATCTCTCACTGTATAAATTCGGTGATTTAAATACCAAGCAGATGCCCTCTTGCAGATTCTGCTGCCTATAGCTCTACCCCTTGCTTCTTTCACAATGTCCATTTAGCATCCACCCCTCCTATCTGTGGTGGCAACCCTTTATCAAACAAGAAGATGTGAAGCACTATTAAGCACAGAAGGCCTTTCCTCCACATTTGAGCAACAGGATGCTAGAGCTGCCAACATCCTGGAAGGAAAAAAAATCCTGCCTGTTTAATAGAGGCTTAATGGGCTGTTATTTACCAGACAATTTTATTTACCTCCATGCCATGAAAAGTTTTAACTGCTCATTTCTATACATTAATCCTCCATAAAAGAGGCAGGACATTTTTTTCCTCCTGGCCTGTTGGCAATCCTGCTAAAGGGGTCTGTTATTGATTTCTACACTTTAATGCCCTGCCTTCTAGTAGCATTCTAAGATTACAGACCAGATTTACTTATTTGAAAATTGTAGCACTAATGTCGTACCACTGATGAATTTTACGCAGGTGCTCTGCAGCTGACAAGATCCCATTCATTTTCATTGCCATATAAAGTATTTGTGTAATTCACATATTTCTACGGTAGGTTGACCAAAAGAGTCTGGTGTGTGCATAGAATGTACAGTGACACTTCAAACTGGGGTGGGGGTGACATTTTCAAATGCTCTCCAATGCGAAAACAGAGAAAAAAAACACCTCCCTACATGTAGAAAACTATCACCGGAGGCAGAATGGTGACCTTTCTTCATGATACTTTTAAAAGCTTCGATCCAATTCCTCTCCTTAATAAAGGACTCTGAGTGGTTAACAATAGATTTAAAACAACAACAAAATGTTAAAACAATAAATACTCAAAATTAGAAACTAACCCCCCACCCCAATTAACAATTCAGCCTTTTACCTTTTCCTAAAAACAGTAAGGCTTTAATGATATCTCTGCAAGACTGTTCCACAACACTAGGGCTGCTAGTTGTGAAACTGTCTTCTGGAGATAAGTACCAGCACTTCAAACTGGACTCAGAAACACATTAGCAACCAGTGTGAACACTGAAAGCTTCAGTAAGTAATTGAGCTGCCCCTGTTTGAACCAACTGAAGTTTCTGTGTTACTTTCAAGGACAGAGTCAAGAAGAACATATTACAGTTACCACAGCATGGATCAAAATGGCTAGGCTGACTGAGTCTGTGAGGGGAGAGATTACTTCTATGCTGGGTGCGATTGGGGGGAAAAGCATTTTTGGCTTCTGTATTCATTTGGTTATTCTAGCAGAAGGGCTGGGTTCAACAAGACTCCCAGACTCTTAACTAACTTAACTCCTGACCTCATCCTAAGGGGGTGGCATGATTATCTCCAGAATATTGGCTTGAACCTTTCTGCTTTCAGGGAGACTTTCCATATCAAAATTGATTTTAAAATTACTTCTGCACCTGCAGTCTGATGTGATAGCCCATTCTACTACATCAGGACTCCTCCTCATTCTCCTGCCATGAACATCTAGCCTCAGGCCAGAGGTAATCACTCTGTGGCTTGCAGAGAGTCACATCAGCAGTTGTTATCAACCAAGAGAACTGCATGACTACAGTATGTCCTGCATGCCACCCCACCAAATACATATATACAATAAAGTAAGATATAACTGTTAAATATATAATCTTAGCTGCATTCACAGGATTTCCATTTACTTTCATCCCTATTCTGGAGAATGCAACCACCACCACCTCACAGCAGCTGTTTCAGGATGGGAAACAGCCATCTGAAAACCACAAGCCTCACTGGACAACAGCCTTGCCCACTTTCTTAGACATGGGGTGGATGCCATTTTGGGGGATGGTACTCAGTAGAGCCAGAGGTGGCATGCCAAACACCCACATGTGGCTCCCAAGACACTGAGTATCACTCCTCAGACACTCATGATGCTGGGCAGTTTGAGAAAGAAACATCGGCCTCCTTTAATGATGTTCATTTTACTTACTCCATGTCCAGAGCATTTTTCTTTAGGATTACAATCATATTTCAGGATTTCATAGTTTTCACACACTTGATTGATACAAACCTACAACACATATAAAAAAAAATAGCATTTTGGTTTTTAAAACCCTGAAAATTCCAGGCTGAGTAAGCAATCCTTTATTGCACCTCAGGCTCCAACATCTATGTCTTGTTCCCCACAATATGCTACCACTTCCCAGAGCTGGGCAATTTTCACTCTTATAGTCCAGCCTGATATGATCGTGGGCTTCATAATTCCAGAAACAGTCTTATCACAAGCCAAAGTAAGGCAGCTACCTTAGGAGCACACTAGGCGCCTGGCAAGATCCAGTTCTAGGAATGCCAACCTCTGCCAGTCTTCCACAAAGCAAGGAAGGAATTTGGAGGAAAAGCAGATAGGGAAGGGGTGTTTATCCTTTCAAGACCAGCAAGTGGAGGCAGACCTCAAAAGGTGCTGAACAAAGTGGTTCCATTTGCTGAAGCGCTCAAAATAATCTTATCTGAAGCTTCTGCCCTCCCTCTCGTCTAGCATTGGATTATAAAATGCAAGGATGCATCTTTAAGGTTATCTTTTACTTTGCTCATCTTAACCTATAAAGCAGTACACCACCATGTACACTGACCACATTATTTCAACAATAATAACATGCTAGATTGCTTTCTTACTTTAGAAGGTCCGCATTTTGTACCATCTTTTAACAGCAGAGGGTCTAGCGAAGTTTCTGACTGCTTCATGTCCAGAGATGCACAAATAATATTTCTCACTGGAGTATACAGGACAGGAACTTTCAGTTTAGCAAAAGGAACATTGCTTGGATACAGGCAAATTAACTTTCCACATCTGAAATCCCTATCAAAAGCATTTGGAAAAGAAATCAGGATCACATGCGTGTATAGAATTATTAGAAACCCCCGATTCTTAGGATAGTCATCTATCCCGCTAGGGTTGCCAGCGGCCTGGACAAGAGGCCTTGCTCCTTTAATAAGGGCTTAATGGAATGTTACTTCCTTCTATGCCATGACAAGCTTCAACTGCCACCCATTAAGCCTCTATTAAAGGGACAGGTTATTTTTTCTTGAGGCTGCTGGCAACCCTGTCTCCCCATTTTTTCTTGCTCCTTTTGTCAGCCATGAAGTTTTAAAAATAAATAAAGCAGCGTACGAACTTTTAACCAGGGAGCCATGCGAACAAAAACAAAGCTGACCGGCTGGTGAAAAACTGGGGGGAGGGACTGATTTTGGAACCAGAGCCAGTACAGGAGCAGAACAATACAGCTGACGGTGCAGCAAACAACTTTGCCCATGTCCCTGCGGGTACTTCAGTTCTAGGACTATTAAGCAAATTAAAAACCACTAAGTCTCCAGGTCCAGATGGCAAAAGTCCTGAGGGTTCTGAAGGCATTCTAATGTGAAACCATTGCTCTACTGACCAGTATACATAACTTATCACTAATACCGGCCTGTGTACCAGATGACTGGAGAGTAGAAACTGTTATAGCAGTTTTTAAAAAGGGGTCCAGAAGGGAACCAGGAAATTACAAGCCACTTAACCTAAAATCTGTTCCAGGTAGACTAATAGAAAGCACATAGCACATAGAAACTCAGCACGGTTTCTGCAAGGATAAGTTGTGCCTCACCAATCTTTTGGAGTTCTTTGAGAAAGTGAACAAGCATAGATAATGTAGACATTATATACTTGGCCTTCCAAAAGACCTCTGATGAGACACCTCACCAAAGACTCCTGAGTAAACTTAGCAGTCAGGAGAAAAGAGGACAAGTCCTCTTATGGATTAAAAATTGTTTAAATGACAGGAAGCGGAGAGTAAGAATAAAAAGACAATTCTCTCAATGGAAAGAAGTGAGCAGTGGGGTCCCACAAGGATCAGTATTGGGACTGGTGCTATTTAATTTGTTCATAAATGATCTGGGATTGGGGGTGAGCAGTGTTGTGGCCAAACTTATGGATGACACAAAATTATTCAGGATGGTGAAAACCAAGGCTGAATATGAAGAGCTCCAGGACAACCTTGACAAATTCTGTAAATGGGAAACAGTGTGGCAAATGAAGTTCAGTGTGGGTGAGTATATACACATTGGAACAAAAATCCCACCTGAGCATATGCTAATTGGGTTTGAAACTGCTGAAACGGAGAGGGAAAGGGACCTTGGATTTAAAAGGGGATTAGACAAATTCATGGAGGCTAGGTCCATCAATGGCTATTAGCCATGATGACTAAAAGGAGGCTCCAAATTCAGAGGCAGCAAACCTCTGAATACCAATATTAGGAGGAAACATCAGGTTGCCTCTATGCCCTATTGTTGGCCACCCCTAGTAACTGGCCAGCCACTGTGTTAGACAGGATACTGGACTGGATGGACAACTGGTCTCATTCAGCAGGGCTGCTCTCATGTTCTTAAGTTCTTTATTGTTCAACAGTTTGTCAAATGCTGATTTTTAAAGTAAAGGAACAACTGTAGTGTGGGGTTTGTAATGGCTTATGGCTAAATACAATAAAACCTTTTTCTCTCTCTCAACTGTGGTGTGGAAAATGAAAAGCTCCATGCATTTCAGGTGATTGGGTGGAGAAAAATATAATTTATTTATACCATGCCTTTCTGTTTCAACAGAAAAAAACTCCAAGTCAGCTAACAAACCCTAAGAGCTCTGCTAGTCCAGCATGCTATTTCACTTACAGTGGCTAACCAGCTGCCCCCAAAGTCTCCCTGCTGTTTCTCACCACTTCTGAACACGGAAGTTCCATGCAGCCATTGTTGAACCTATCATCCATGAATTTATCTAATTCCCTCTTCAAGCCAACTAGGCTAGCAGCTGTTGCTATGTCTTGGGACAGTGAACTCTTTAGGTACTGTGTGAAATAAATGAAATATAAAGTAAAATTAAGTCAATGTTGAGCAATGGAAAGACCAGTCTCTTTTTTGCTCTCCCACACAGTAGACGGCAGCTGACCACATGAGAGGGAAGAAGCCTGGAGGGGAAAGGCCGTGCCAACCCCAACGTGAGTTTTAAGGGCTCCTGGCTCAAACTGACCATTTCTTTTCATCAATCGGAATGGTTCCCATTAACTGATAACATCTTTGTACCTCTAGAGCTCCAAAGGGAATGTGGCGTTCCTCTACCACAACACACAGGAAAAACATGTACTATCAAATACAACATTCACATATGTATACAACCCACAGAGAATTCTTAATTTCTAGGTCCTCTCTACTGCCCAATCACATACTGATCTGAACAAGTCTTATAACCCTCTGATGGATCAGTCCCACAGTGTCCAAATCTATCTGCTTGACGATTAATTTCTTCGTAACATGCAAGTGGAGCGCTTCTTGCACCTGTGAATATTGAAAGAACACATCCATAAAAGCCTGACATAACTTTATTCACAACGCTTATGATAGGCATTTGTAGATGTCTGTGAGCAGAAGGAATGATTTTTCTTTAAATCACAGTTTGCCCTCTTTTGCTTCTGCAAGTCATTTATACCTCTGCTTAAAATCTTGAGCAGGACTAGACTACAGGCTTAAACTAGTATGAGGCTCTTTCTACATGGGTTTGGAATTAGGTTTTTTACTGCATGCCCACAGTATTGTGGTGCATTCATGCACCTTGCAGGATTTCCCCAACTTTTCTCTGACTTTTCCCAAACTGGCTTTGCTGTGCAGTTTTAGGAAATGTCATAGCAAAGCCTGGATAGCTGCACTGTGGATGGGAAAATCTGGATTTGCCAAGTCCCAAACAGCTTTAAAAGGATCAAGTAGTATGTGATGAAAAGATTAGACAGATTCATGGAGGATAGGTCTATTAGTGGGTACTACCCATGGTGACTGAAAGGAACCTTCATGTTCAGAGGCAGTAAGCCTCTGAATATCAGTATCATGTGCAACATAAGGGGAAGGCCTCGGACTCAATGCCCTGTTGTTAGACCTCCGGAGGAACTCTCTATGAGAGACAGGGTGCTGAACTAGATGGACCACTGGTCTGATCCAGCAGGGCTCTTCTTATGTTCTTATGTCCCATCCACACAGCAGCCAGTTTCCCTGCCCATGTTCCCGCAGCAGCCATTTCCCCCAACTACCACCTGGGGGGCTTTATAAAATTAGAAATTAACTATCATTAGAACTATATAGCAACCTGTGTATCAGTTTCTCTAAATTTTCAACTTTCATTTTTAAAAATGAGGTATTTTGCCCCTTTTATTGTGGAGATATGCTTTCCCCCTTATATCTCCACAGTGAAAGGGGTTAGAGCCTTACTTTTTAAAAAGTAAAAGCTGGGAGTTTAGAGAACCTGATGCACAGATGTTTATACCATTATAACTATATTCAATTACCATTAAAAACACCACAAAAAGCCCTCGTGGCAGTGTGTGTGTGGGGGGGTGAAAAGTAGTCACTCCTGGGGGACTGGGACAGGGAAACCTATCATGCAGAAGCCTGTCATGGGGAGGGGCTGTAGTTCAGTGGTAGAGTGTCTGGTTTGTATGCAGAAAGTCCCAAGTTCAATCCCTGGCATCACCAGTTAAAAGGGGCAGGTAATGTGTGATGTAAAAGACCTCGGCTTGAGACCCTGGAGAGCTACTGCCAGTCTGACTGAATTTGATGGATTTAGCATAAGGCAGCTTCATGTGTTTCAAACCCATGGCCACAGCAGCCACCACAGCAATAGGGAAACTAAACCACCCCATGTGGAAAACACCTAAAAGTAATTCAGTTTGCCCAAGGAAGCTTGGGAACTGCAGTTCTGTAAGACAGGACTAGGGATTTACAACAGGGAATTTTCACTTCCAAACTACAATTCCCAGGAGGGAGCTACAACAGTTTGAAGTGTGGTTGTGCCGTCAGTAGATACAACTCTGAAACTGTTGTGAGCTTCCCTGAACCTACAGGATAGAAGAGAACACAGATATTTCTATACAGGTAGAATTGAAATTTCATTCCCCAAGGAAGGTCTTCTAAGAGAGAAAAAACTTGAAAGGAGATGCAGGGCAATGCAGTAGTTAAGAGTATCAGAACAGGATTGGAGGCATCTGGGTTCAAATCCCCACCGAGCCCTGAAACTCACTGGGTAACAATGGGCCAATTTTCTTCTTGATTATTTTTTAACCATTCTAAATATAAGTTTTTAAAAACAAAATGCAAGAGCATTTTTAAAAACAGCAGGAGAACAGGACTGTCATTTACGTGGACCAAAGAGCTCCTGACAGCGTAGATCAGCTGACTGGCAACCTCCTGCGTAACAGAAACCAGTGTTGCCACCACATGTGTGTCCGTTCTGGACATAAATATCAGACGGGCAGGATGCAGAACTCCCATTGCAGTATTCAGGGAAATCACAAGCACGATCAACTGCCTTTCTACATACTGTGTTGCTGGGCATATACTAGGCAAAAAAGAAAAAAAAATTAGTGGCAGTCTTCAAAATATAGATGTTTGACTATGTCTAAGGTATTAAAAATCCGTTACTTTACTTAAAAGTCTTCTATTCAAAGTGGCTTAAAATGTTATTAAAACAATGTATTATAATTAAACAAAAATCACAACAGCAAACAAGACTAAATAACCAGCTAACAAATTAAATGCCACCAAACAATTGGATATTAATTTTTTTTCTGAAGCCTAATAAAAGTTAACACGTAATATAAGCATCTTAGTATACAAGCCGGTTCCTATAGAAGATGTCAGTCCCTAAGATACCATAGTCCCAGAGAGACAGCTAATTGTTCCCTAGGAGCTTCTATTATATGTGGAAGCGTCAATCAGAATGTTTCCAAAGGGATTTGCTTACAAAATCTGTTTCACCTAAATAAGTATTTAGGTGTTTACCCTGTTACCCAGTAGTAGCTACACACACACACTTTTCTTTATCTCTTCCATTTTAAATGTGTCAGTGACATAAAACACAGTGAAAAACTAACTGTTCAGTCAGTGACATAAAACACAGTGAAAAACTGTTAATGTGGATATTAGAACAGTTATATATTACAAATACAAAAACAGCACAACAAAAACTGGTGTTTTGATAACACCAAAGAACCTCAGCAAATTGTAATGCCCTCACTGAATACAAAAGTTGAGACTTGCATCTCTTGAGTTCTTCCCTGGCTTGGACTGAATACCTGAGCTGGAGGAGGGTGTAATACCTGGCCTGTGGGAACTTTTCTTCCTGCCCCCACCCTACTTAACTATTTGCCTGGTGCATTAACTTGCCATACTACAGCATCAGCTAACAGGCAGACTATCTAGAAAAACCATTAACAGCTCAAGGGCTGAGTGTTACTAAGAGGCATTAAAAGTAGCGCACTGCGCCTGGCACTGGAAACAGAAAGAGCCAAGATCTGATTTGAAGCTTCAAAAGCAGACAGAGACCCAGATGTGACCATCAAGATGAAAAATCTGCCCACTGCCACAAAGTGAACTGGCAGCAGGAGATGGTCTTCAGCAGGTCTGTTTAAGACCTATGCACTGAGCTCCTGTGAAGAACATATGGCTAATACAGAAGTGAAGGGAAAGGCATTGGTAGGCTTCTAAGACATTCCAGACCCAAGACCTCACCTGACAGTTTTGGCAGCATGGTTCAGTACTGCATACAGCTCCAGCTTGAAATTTACAGTTATGGGTGCAACATTTGCTGCTGTTACATTCCTGAAAATAAAAGCACACAGCTGGGTTTTGAGTATGGGTTGTTGTCGTTTTTGTCAACAGTAAAACAGATTATATTTTGTGGTACTAATAATTACAAACTATGGTCATTAAAATACAAAACTCTGAATGCTGGGGGGAAAGTATGGCTTCTAAACTTTGTGGCTGGCTCCTACAGCCAATGAGAATTTGTCAAGGCTTGGCCTAAAGCAGCTTCATGTGTTTAGATTGTCTTCCTGCTCCTTGAATGTAGATTTGATAAATTACTGCTGGTCATATCTATGGTTATGTGTTAGCTTTTACTTCTTGCAACTGCTGGCTGATTTGAACTTCATATAAGTTTAATAACAGCACTGCTTTATCTTTTAAGTGTATGCTTTAATTCCAGTGGTGTATCAAAGGACAGTGCCGCTACTAGGTTTCATAAAGAGAGTAAAATAAATTAGTAAAGGTTTCCCTTGCTCGAAATCCTACTCTAGGGGTGATGCTCATCTCAGTTTCCAAGCTGAAGAGCCAGTGCTGTCTGAAGACATTTCTGGCATGACTAGACGCCAAGGTGCATGGAATGCTGTTACCTTCCAATCTCTTCTCTTCTCTTCTTCTTTTAAGTGTATGCTTTAATTCCAGTGCTGTATCAAAGGACAGTGCAGCTAGTAGGTTTCATAAAGAGAGTAAAATAAATTAGTAAAGGTTTCCCTTGCTCGAAATCCTACTCTAGGGGTGATGCTCATCTCAGTTTCCAAGCTGAAGAGCCAGTGCTGTCTGAAGACATTTCTGGCATGACTAGACGCCAAGGTGCATGGAATGCTGTTACCTTCCCACGTAAGCAGTACCTATTTATCTACTTCCACTTTCTTGCTTTCAGACTGCTAGGCTGGCAGGAGCTGGGGCCAGAGATGGGAGCTCACTCCATCACGTGACACTAGGGTCTCAAACTGCCATGCTACAGACCTTCCAGTCTGCAGCTCAGCGTCTTAACCTCTGAGCCACTACAGCCCCAAAAAATAAATTACCAAGATTAAACATAAAGTAGCATTTGCATCAAGAGGAGCAAAGTCCTGGTCTGAGAATTTTTCATAACAGCACAAGACATGTTTTGTTTGGGCTGGTATTTGGTGGCCGGCAAGAAACATCATCACAATTTAAAAAAAAAAAAAACTGCACAAAAAACCTCCCTAAACATCCAGAATAAGTCAAGATACAAATTCAAACAAAGCCAGTGGTCACTTCCCAGTTACTGACCTCTGGTGAACCACAATCACAGTTTTCTCCAGCTTCTATGACACGGTTCCCACAAACTAAACTGCTCTTTCCACTTTTCTTAGTAGAGTGCTCTTGTAAATGTGGCCTATTAGAAAGGCAATGGCCACCCTTGAGTTTAATGAAATTCTGGAAGTCTTCAATGCTGCAGCTACTAAAGGCTTTAATTCCATCTGAATGTCTGAAATATCAAATTAAATACATAGTTCTTATTTGATTTTCACAAAGTGTCCAAGGCACAGCACGATAAAAATTCTGCTATGAAAAATGCTTTTCTCCATCTTCCTTTGAGAGAGCTTCACTCGTCCGAGCAAAGCCTCTTGAACGTGCCACCCTGCAAAAGGGTAAAAACAAGTGGCTCATACCTAACCACCCTGCAAAAGGGTAAAAACAAGTGGCCCATACTTGAGTTTTCTCTGTCCCAGCCCTCATCTGGTGGAATGATCTGCTTCACAAGGTAAGAAAGACTTCTATTGTTTCACAGAACGTGTAAGACAGAACTGTTCAGGAGAGCATTTTCAGAGAAGGAATAGAGATGTAGCAAAATGGAATTTTGCAGGAAGGCCCTTTCCACTTAGGTAACAAGGTTTTAATTTAATTGCCTGTGAAATGTTTAGATAGCTCCCCTTGCCTTTACACTGCATTGTTTACTGAATATATTATACTGCCTTACTTCAGCATTCTCCAATTGTGAAATCCAGTTTATTGTATCATTGTTCTGTAATTATGAAATCCAGTTTATGTGAACTAGTATACTGTTTTTGTTTAATTATTCTTTAATTTGTGCAATCTAGTTTTACTGTATTGTTCAATGTATGCAGTATATGGTTCTTTGCATTGACTTTTATGACCCTGTAATATGCTTTGAATCTTTACAAGAAAGGCAGGCAAGAACTGAAGGAAATAAATAACTAGGTAAGAGAAATCAGAACTCAAACAATAACCGGTTTCTGGTTTCGGCTCCTCACTTGACGGTTGCACTCCGATGGGGTTCCATAGGGGGCGGCCTGTTCCGCGGCGGATAGGAGGGGAGCCAACCATTGCTGGCTCCCCCCAAAGCTCTTGGTGAGAGCTCCAAGCCAGGGGGCTTGAGGAGTGCCGCTCCCGAGGCGTGATGCCAAGGGACTGAGGCACTCTTTGCCCCAAAGGTCCTGCTGCTGTGGCGCCATCATGGCTTTTAGAGGTGCACACCGGGCAAGCGTTCTGGAGTTTTAGTGAGAATGCAAGACATCTCATCATATAAGTGATACCAGAAGAAACGTGAGTGATCTTACAATAAGCACATGAACTTTTAAACGGGCTCCGACACCCCCCACCAGTGATAGGGGAAGGGAGGAGTATCCCCCCCAACAAAACGAAACCTTAAGTTAAAGCCTTACTGAAACGGGGGAAAGA